TGCATTCGTGATATACATATATACATATATACATTCATTAATTTCAGGATATTGCAGCAGAGTGTGTCTTCAAAATATTTTATTAATTATTAAAGAGGTGCTTTATCACTTACATGATGACAGTTTTTTTTTTTTTTTTTTTTCGTCCGGAGGCTCGAACCCTGGACCCTCAGATTAAGAGTCTGACCTACCGACTGAGCTATCTCAACCTACTACATGATGACAGTTTAGGTGAACGTTTGTAATTGAATAAATGTCCAGCTAGTTCAAATACTTCGTAAGCCAAGATCGAAGAATAGAAATGAATATTGAGAAATAAATAAATTTTCGTCATTACGGTCGTTTAGGTATCATGGTCGAAAGAATGTTAAGTATGTTATCACGGAACCTGAACTACTGATCGAAGATTAGTAAAAGTATCCTGATGATACACAACGTATAATGCGTATAATGCGTAGGTATTTATGTGTAATAGTTTAGTGTGGTTTTCAAGGGAACGACATATTCTATTATGACGATTTTATGCTATTGAATAATAAGTACCGTCTCTGTTCTCTAAATTACAAATTACGTTGACGTTAGATTGAAACAAAAAATCCATTTCTAATAATCTCTCAAAATGCATTTCTAATAATCTCGTATAAAAATAGATATTGTAGATACCAACGTTAATCTTTCTAAAAAAAAAAAAAAAAGAAAAAACGTAGGAACGTTTCGACGCTGCCATCTTGTATTAAAATATATTGTCACGTATCTCGTATAATTATAAGCGTTCATATTTAAAATATAATCCTGGAACATGTTAATGATCAAACGAGACCTCCTCACGTTTATTTATCATTCGCTACAAATTATCCATTTAACGTTTAATGTTTAATTCGAAAGAATTAGTTGCACGTATTAGCTTCTTATTCTCGTTGCAGGTTCCATCGAATATTCTGGTGTTCCAAGGCAGGAAACTTGGCGGCTTGGCGTTATCGAAATCATGGAGAGCACTATGACGGAATTCGAGGAGAACGTGTCCTTCGACATCGATGACCCGGACTTTGCCCCGTCGAATCTTCGTGCCATTCCTAATAGTAGCGCAACCTATCGCACTGTACAATTCTCCGATATTACATTCGGCGTCAATAAATGTGAGTACGTTCACTTCGCTGGTATGGGTACAGTTACAGGTACAGATTGTAATCGGCTAATAGTATTTTAAATGCCGGAGTAAATCCAGTATTCGGCAAGCAAGAGTCCATTATATGGACCATTTTTCGAGGAAATTGAAGGTTAGCAATTACTAGTCAATTTGAAAATATAAATTAATTATGTCAAGTCTGGCAATGTTAGTCTACTAATTTATCAATATGTAAATTATATAAATTTTTTATTGGCCAATTTTAAATTGAACAAAGCATTGCCATCTTTTAAGATATTGAATATTAACTAGTTATAAATAAAAAGTTTACACTAAATTAATCGCAAATTTTTTTTTACCAAAATGGACTTATTGAATTTATCGTCGTATCGCGTTTCACTTACTGATGATAGAAACATTATTCTTAAACACATTGTTTACATAAAGATATGTGTAAAAACTCACTAAAAACTCATTTCGCATGCGTCACCGACAGATTGAGATCA